CTTGCAATAATGGTGTCTGGTGTGTTTGCTCTGCCCCAGGAACTATGCCACGTACCCGGGGTGGGAGTGTGGGGAGGATACATTTGTAGATTCAGAGACAAATAAGACAGTACATCTGCTTTCATGGTGGTGCATGTTGAAAGTGCAGAGAGTAGGTGTTGCTGGCCAGAATGGTGTGAAGGCCTTCTTGGAGGAGGGGTGATGTTCAGGGACCTTGACGCATGGGTGTATGGGTGTGACTTGGCAAGGAGTGGACAGGTCTTATCAGGTAGACATTTCTGCGTGTGTGTGTGTGTATGTGTTGGTGGTAGTAAGGATGTACAGGAAGAAAGGATGATGGAAATCTCAGGTCACATTCAGGACAAATAAGAAAACTGATTTTGTTGGAACTAAAACCTGGTGTGGGTGACTCATGGGAGATGACTTTGTAGGCCTTGAACACCCAATTAAGGCCACTGAGCTTTTATCCAGTAGCAGGGAGGAGCTCAGGAAGGCCTTGGTGTCCCTGAAAGAATAACTTGGTCATGTGCCCATTTGAGGAAGGAGAGAGGAGGGAGAGAAGCTGTTATTTAGTGGTGCAGTCCCCGTGCCAGGTGCTGAGGACTTAGCACAGGACTAAGGGAAATAGAGCAGCAAGAAGGCCCTGTGGCAGTCTAGCGAGAGAGACCATACCACTGTTTCAGGGAGGCAAGAGCAGAGAGAGAAAGGGAGGCAATGTTGCAGGAAGCCAAACCAGGATCAGATCCGTGGACACAGAATAAAGGCTGAGCCCGGCGAGTGAAGGTCCCAGACTCTACTCATGGAAAGTTCAAACTCTAGTTTATTTAGTGTAGCAGACAATGCATCCACTTCAGAGTGAGAACGGTAGTGGGTTTGAATCCAGCTCCTCTAGCTGGAGGGCCAAGGCAAGTCACTTACAGTCTCTCAGCTTTGACTTACTCATCTACACATTGGGGGTTGTTGTTGTCAACAATAGTGTTGTGGCTTAGGTTAAATTAGATAAAGAGAGTGAAACATCTAGCAGTTTTACTGGTACACATTAGTTGCTCAGTCAGAAGACGTCAGCTTTAAATTCCTGATTGTGACTTTCAAGTCCTCATGGTCTAGGTTGCCAAGGTTAGGCCTTCTTCTCCTGTAGATTCTATCTTGGTAGTAGTGTCTTGTGTGTCCACCAGAGAGAGCAATTCTTTGCTGTGTAAGTGAGGGAACCATGTGCATGTTTGGACTATTGCAGCTACCAGGCTGCCCCTGTGATGAGGGATAAGGCATCAAATCGATGCTGGAAAAAGCCCCGCTACTGCTGTATAATTTGCCAGCCACCAGCCTCCCAAGTCTGACCACCTCCACATGCTCCTCCCCTGTCCAGGTTTCACCAACGTTCTCAAGATCCTGACCAAGGAGAGCAGTCGGGAGGAGCTGCTGTCCTTCATCCAGCACTATGGCTCCCACTACATCGCTGAGGCCCTCTATGGATCAGAGCTCACCTGCATCATCCACTTCCCCAGCAAGAAAGTCCAGCAGCAGCTGTGGCTCCAGTATCAGAAAGGTAAGCCCAGAGTGCTTGTTGGAGGAGGTGGCTGGTTGGGGCGAAGAGGTAGGGTGGCTGGGGAGACAACTGAGCTGCTGAGGATCCAGATGCTGGCTCTACTGCGATAAGCTGTGTGATTTTAGGCAAGTCCCTGTCCCTCTCTGGGCTTCATTTTTACCATGGGCAGAGTTAGGGGATTGTGTGATGATTTCTCAGGATTCTTTCAGTTAACACATTTTCTGATGACCCAAATTTGTGTTCTGGACTCCAGAACTTTTGCCTTCTACTGCAGGCTCTTTCTTTCTCGCTCTCTCTCCTTGTAATACCTGACCAGGGTGGGGCAGGGGTTAGGGAGTGGTGGGAGCGCACCAGCCATTCCTATATAGGATACGAACCCGCGGCGGGAGCGTTGCTGCGCTCCTAGTGCCGCACTCTCCCGAGTGCGCCACAGGCTCGGACCCAGAACTCTTGCCTTCTACTGCAGGCTCTTTCTTTCTCGCTCTCTCTCCTTGTAATACCTGACCAGGGTGGGGCAGGGGTTAGGGAGTGGTGTCTCGACACCTTCTCTCCAGGATTCTTGAGAGAACTCAAGAAGAGTTTCCATTCCACTGGAAGAGATCACCTTATGTCCAAGGGGACAGTTTCCAATCTGTCCCATGGACAGGCTTTTGTCTTCATGGAGAGCCATCGGGTCTTATTTCCCTCTGATTCTCAGCTATTATCAGAATTAGAATTACCCAGACCAAGTGCAGAACAGTCTCTGCCACTCACATTGGGAAAAGTCATTTCCTTCCTATGTCAGGTTTTGCTTCCTATGAAATGGGAACTTAACTAGCTACCTTTGTCTCCTTCCCACATTAAAGGGAAGCTGTTTATGTAATAGTATTTTGATGACATTAGAAATATTGCACACATGCATATATGTATTTTAATAGGTCAACGTGTTTATACCCCTATTTTACATATGAAAAAACAAGTCTCAGACAGGCCAAATCAAGTGCCCATAGATCCACAGCTAGTGAGTGGCAGGGCCAGGACTGGAACCCAGGACTTGTTGGCTGGTTGCAAAAGCCTGTGTCCTTTCCCTCTTTCAACTATACTGAAGTTCTTCTTATAATTAATACTATTGTTATCAATTAATTGTACACAAAAGGCTCTCAGTTGATGAAAAGGGTGATAAGCAATGTTAAAAACTTGCTTGCATTTTCTTCATATGGCTCAGCCACCCTGTTTGCAAGAACAAAATCAACTGTAACTCATAAAACCACAGAATGTGGGAGCCAGAAGGGGCCTTAAAGGTCTCATTGAGCTCAGCATGCCAGTTGTGCAGGGGGCGGGTGGGGGACTAAGGCTAGAGGAGAGGAGGAAGCTTGCTCAAACTCACACAGCTCCTCTTGGCAGGGCCAGGACAGAGTCATGTGCTTCCCGTCCCCTGTCTAGAGCCTCTCACTATGCCACACATTCCTGACTGGAAGAAGCCCTGATCCACATGCCTTTGCCATGTCCCAAACCCTTTTCTTTAGTCTTTGGAGGGTTTACATCCCCAGTTGTGCTCCCATCCCTTCCTGCGTCCTGTGTGCAACTATGTGGGCCACAGGGTGGTTTATAGGCACCAGGGACATAATTGAGTTGCTTGGGAATAGCTCTGTTTTATAGCTGTGACAATGAGAGTCTTTAAGGAAGTGCATTAAATCAATAGAAGTCTCATTGTGCTACCCTATAAATAATGTGACACATCATTAAACAGGGCAATAAGCTTCAGGACTTTGAAGTAATACAATTAGGTTATGTTTATAAAAACCTTCGCTCACTGTGGCCACTGAACTAATTTGCTTCCTACCACATTTGGGGCCTGGGACACCATTCTGATGCTAAATTCTGCCCCATCTCCATCCTTGGTTGCTTCCAGGCCTTAGACTTTCTCATTCCAGAAAGTTCCATTCCTTATAAAGTGGATGCATGGAATCCCACTTTACAAGTAAGATGGGAGAGTGGAGCAGAAAAAACCACCCCCCTTCAACAACTGGCTTTGCCACAAGCTTACTGGGTGAACTTGGTGTTTTCCTCTCTGGGCTTCTGGTCTGCAAAGGCACTTTTCTTTCTTCTGTCATCCATACCTCCTCCCAAGAAGAGCATAAGAATACATTGAAACCAACTCATCTGTTGTGTGTATTTCTTCCTCTCAATCTCCACCTGCTGTGACCGCATAGATTGTACATTAAATCCTCTGGTTTTGGTTTTTTAGTTTGGATGTGATGCTAAGGAGTGGGGAGATGAGAAGCTGGGAATTTGCCTCTGTGGAGCCAAAATAATACTTTGGATTCAGAGATAGTTGGCATCCCTTCTTTCCCCAGCCATTGGTTATGTGCCTTTGACACATGCTAAACACTGGGCATCAGGTCAGGATGAATCTGGGCTTGTAAGCTGATAATCTGAGGGGCAGAGCTTGTGGAAACAGGAGAGAGAGTGCTGTGTTGAAGTGGGACAGATGGAATTTCACGTCCTCACTCCTCTTCTTACCTACTCGCCAGGTAACCTTGGGCAAAGTAACTTCTAAGTCTCAATTTCCTCATATGTTAAATGAGAGATTGTAATTCCCTTCTACGTTTTTTGGGAGATTAAAATGAGATAATGCAGGTAAAAAGCCTGGCACATAGTAGGTACATGAAAAACAGTAGCTTGAAATAGAACAAAAAAGGTGGTCAACAGCTGAGAATTCCAGTCCTGACCCTGGCCCTTGCTAATGTGTGACCTCAGCCCTTATTTCTCCCTGTGATCTACATATGTCATTAGAAGAGCACAGTTTCTGCAAATGTCCTCTCAACCCAGAGTGGTAGAAAGCAGGAGGGGGAGGGATTCCAGGATTTTCTGAAATTTATTGAGTCTTAGACATCTAAGACTCAGATAGTGGCTTCTTGACTGGAAGGGCCAAGCCTGGAAGGGGAGGTTGGGGAAAATAGGCCAAACAGGACATGGATAACAACCATGAACGTTCGTACATTTGACCTCTACAGTTTGCAGATCCTTCCTTTGATCCTTCCATCTACCCCACAAAACAAAGCAAAGAAGGAAAGAGTACTCACGAATCCCTTTGTAGAAGGGAATCCTGGAGCTTAGAGAAGAGAAGGGGCTTGTCACATCATACAGTTCATTAGTGAAGGAGATAGTGTTTGAATCCCAACCTGAGCTGAGTGCTTCCTTCTCCCTAGACCCAGTGTCCCCAGACATTAGAAACAAATGTCCCAGCCTTTCCAGGTTTACCAGTGATTGGGCCCTCACCATTCTTATGCTCTGAGGCAGCCACTGGAAATTACTGGGAAGCCAGGGGAGTTGGGGTGAATGTGCCTGATTAAAATGTTTCCCATTAGAGGTTTGTTTTACTCTCATTCCCCTAAGTGCTTCTTAGTGTGCAACCCACAGGAAAAAACAAAGTCACATTTATTATTCATCAATTCTTTGGTTCAGTGAACATTTCCCAAGTGCTTCCTCTCTGCACATGTTGTGCCAGGTGCTAGGCACCACAGTGGATAAGACATGGGCTCTGTCCCTACATCGTTCACTACTAGCCTGCCTTAGTTTCCCAACATTTCACTATTTTTGTTATAGACTTTTAAAATCCATTGGTAGACAGCTGGGAGGAGGGATGGGGCTGGCACATGGTAGGATACCCAGTCACTATCATATTATGGCCCATTCTGATAAATTGAGGATTGACTGATCTGTGTGGAAGTCATTGGTATCATTGGGAAAAAGAGCTATGCTCAGTTA